GGCCAACACAGAGGAGGATATACAGGTGCTGGTCATACAATTAGAATATCATCAAAAAGTTGATTTATTTCAGTAATTCCATTCAAAAAGTGAAACCTGTATAATGTATACATTCATTCCACACAGACTGATATAGTTCAAGTGTTCATTCCTTTTAATTTTGATGATTATAACTGACAACTAATGAAAACCCCAAAATCCGTATCTCAGAAAATTAGAATATTGTGAAAAGGTTCAATATTGAAGACACCTGGTGCCACACTCTAATCAGCTAATTAACTCAAAACACCTGCAAAGGCCTTGAAATGGTCTCTCAGTCTAGTTCTGTAGGCTACACAATCATGGGGAAGACCGCTGACTTGACAGCTGTCCAAAAGACGACCATTGACACCTTGCACAAGGAGGGCAAGACACAAAAGGTCATTGCTAAAGAGGCCGGCTGTTCACAGAGCTCTGTGTCCAAGCACATTAATAGAGAGGCGAAGGGAAGGAAAAGATGTGGTAGAAAAAAAAGTGTACAAGCAATAGGGATAACCGCACCCTGGAGAGGATTGTGAAACAAAAGCCATTCAAAAATGTGGGGGAGATTCACAAAGAGTGGACTGCAGCTGGAGTCAGTGCTTCAAGAACCACCACGCACAGACGTATGCAAGACATGGGTTTCAGCTGTCGCATTCCTTGTGTCAAGCCACTCTTGAACAAGACACAGTGTCAGAAGCGTCTCGCCTGGGCTAAAGACAAAAAGGACTGGACTGCTGCTGAGTGGTCCAAAGTTATGTTCTCTGATGAAAGTAAATTTTGCATTTCCTTTGGAAATCAAGGTCCCAGAGTCTGGAGGAAGAGAGGAGAGGCACAGAATCCACGTTGCTTGAAGTCCAGTGTAAAGTTTCCACAGTCAGTGATGGTTTGGGGTTCCATGTCATCTGCTGGTGTTGGTCCACTGTGTTTTCTGAGGTCCAAGGTCAACGCAGCCGTCTACCAGGAAGTTTTAGAGCACTTCATGCTTCCTGCTGCTGACCAACTTTATGGAGATGCAGATTTCATTTTCCAACAGGACTTGGCACCTGCACACAGTGCCAAAGCTACCAGTACCTGGTTTAAGGACCATGGTATCCCTGTTCTTAATTGGCCAGCAAACTCGCCTGACCTTAACCCTATAGAAAACCTATGGGGTATTGTGAAGAGGAAGATGCGATACACCAGACCCAACAATGCAGAAGAGCTGAAGGCCACTATCAGAGCAACCTGGGCTCTCATTTGGATGCTGCTGTTTGCATTCATCCTAGATGCAAATTCAAAAAATGCACTTTGGAATGTTGTGGGTGTAGCCTATGTGTATGTAGGCTATATATGTATGTATATAACTACCTGTATTCACAGTTTTCACGTGACGCCACATTCCAAGTAAAACTCTCCCTTGGAGGGCAAAAAATACGTTATAATCTGCTGCCTGCCAACCAATAAGCAAGTGATACACTGTTACTCTGAGTTTGTTACTTTTCAAAATGCTGGATGGTTTTTTGTGCTTTCGGATGCACATCGAGGAGGAGAGCAAGCCTGGGCTGTGTTAGGTGAGGGATTCCCCAGAAGGTAAAAGTAAACAATAACCGCAGTCCAGCGGCGGCAGGGACCTGGCGGTTTTTAACGGTAGAAATGCCGCAGCGGATGCTGTAACGTTATATGGAAGGGATATGCCCAACACTTGCAGTTTGTGCTCATATTTAGATTTTTCTTAAGTTGAAAGGTGATCCAAATAAAATTTGACTGCTTTTGCGGCGTCTCTACGGGGGAGGCGCGGTGTGAGCCGCTATGTTGGTCTGTTGGTTTGCCCTCCAGTTTGCCGCCGCGCATGTCACGTGACTGAAAACTATGAATTGCTTTATTTTATTTTTAATGTTACCATATCTTAATATAGGCCTAGACTTAATTATATGTTGTGTGTGTAGCACGAAGGAACTAACCTTGTACCCAGGAAAGATTGGTAGTGTGGCCGAGCGGTCTAAGGCGCTGGATTAAGGCTCCAGTCTCTACGGAGGCGTGGGTTCAAATCCCACCACTGCCAACTTTAACTTCAGGTGCATTGAATATCTGCCCATAATCTCCAGATTACAGAAGCTGGGAAATGGTTCACTGTACAAATGTCATCCACAAAAAAAATTCTGATTCTGGTCAAGCACTGCTAACTTCTCTAATACAATAACACAGGCATTTACTGAATCTTTCTGTCAATGTTTACGAGGCAATGATTAATCTGCCATTTATTATTACCATTTAACAGGTTTGCAACCTGTTTGCAGGTTTGTGTGTCTTGGTAAACTCAAAATCGATCCCTTTAAACACAAAGAAACAGTTACATGTTACCTTAGAGACTCACTGTAACAGATAAGGCAAGGGTCCTGTCAAGCAGCATTGTGGGCTTACGGAGCCGCAACGTGTTTTGGCGATCATAAACTGGATATCAGGGGTGACCAAAGACAAATGTTTGCACTTTTATGCTTTAGGAATACTTCTAGTCAAAGCAGAGAAAAGCGTGAAACCGCTTCTAGTATGGCTTAGCGCTTTATTGCGCTGGATGGCAGCACTGTTCCTTGTCAATGTCGCTATGGACAAGGACCGTTTGGAATCTGATCATTTAGTGCTCTCTTGGAAAAACCACCAGTACAAGCAAATGGCACATGTGGTAGTGTGGCCGAGTGGTCTAAGGCGCTGGATTTAGGCTCCAGTCTCTATGGAGGCGTGGGTTCAAATCCCACCACTGCCAAATTTACCTCCAGGCACAAGGAATTTCTGCTCACAATTATAGAAACTTGTTGACTGAACACTAAAAATTCCAGTTGTGGTCAAACAAGGCTCTTTATTTAGAAGAACTTCTTGTCAAAGCAGAGAAATCTGAAACTGCTGCCGGTATGAATTGGCGCTCAACCAGTACAAGCAAATGACCCCTTTGGAAAGAGAGGTCCAGGCGCCACGGTGGGTGCGGTGATCGCTCAGAGGAGAGGAAAGAGAGCCAGAGACTTGAGTTGTATAAATTAATCATTCTTAATCATTTTATTAACGATCCTTACTTATTTTTAATCTTTTAACCTAGATGTGCCTTGTCTTTACTTGTAAGTGCTGAACTGTAGTCATGAATACAGAAATGAGCTCACTGTGGTTAGATCCTTGAGTGGGAGTATTGACCGCAGACGCTGTAACTATGCACGCCTTGTTCAACTGTCATCTACTGTAGATTATGACTGCAGGAGAGGCTGCGGGTGTCCAAAAGTTGCTGACGCTGTGACAGTGCATGCTTCGTTCTACTGTTATCTACTGTTGTTATGACTACATGAGGGACTGTTGATGTATTAGTCTGCTGATATTAAGACTACATGTTTAATTACTGATTAAGACTACATGTTTAATTACTGATGAAGGGTTTGACTGTCAACTTCCAACCTCTGATTATTACAGCTGTGTGAACTTTGAGTGAACTTGCTGAACAGAAAACACGTCAGATAGAGGGTGAAGGAAAAGACGACAGATGCTTTAGAAAAACACATCAGATAGTGGGTGAAGGAATTTACGACAGATGCTTTTAGGAATTTGCGACAGATAGATGATGAGCAGAAACACAACAGATACGGCCAGCACTATATCAAGATTACTGTAAGAAACCAAGCATTAATGAAAGATACAGCATTACATATGTTACTCCTGTATTCATTTTTTAAGAAATACAATTGTGTGTCAAATTATGCATGTATAACTTTTAAAAAATACGGTGAGACTGAAGTTGAAATATAATGGAGAACTTCTTAT